TTAAAAAAAAAAGGATAGTGGTGATTTTATTGTTCCCACCTACATTTATCCACACACTGGAATATTTAGGGTTTTTATTTATTTATTATTTATTATTATTCCTTCTTGTGTTTTTATCATAAATGATTCATGCTGCTCCATATGGTTAAGTTATTTTTTTTAATTATTATCTACCGCTTAAAAGAACATGTGGTAATTAATGTTTATGTGCTTTCAATCGTCTGTTAGCAAAATATCTCATGATCCAGCCGGGAGATTTTAATGAAACTCTCAGAAAGTAATAACTGAATGCACATCTACAACTGTTTACTGTTTGGACTAAAGCCCGTTCAAGATGGCTGCCGCAGCTAATCAATCTCGGCAAACATGTGAGTGTTTATAAGTCAGTCAGTTTTAAAGAAATTGAGCTAAAATTAGGGGTGGTGGTAGCTGATACTTACCCAAAACATGTAATCCGAGTGCTAACTGATCGTACAATATCTGCTTTTAAAACTTTGCTATTAAGTATTGGAGTCAACCCTGTCAGTCTGTTAGCAAAATATCTCATGACTCAGCAGGCAGATTTTAATGAAGCTGTCAGAAAATAATCGTTAGGTGGGGATGTTCATCTCTTTAACTTTTGGAGTCAATCCAGGTCAAGATGGCCGCCACAGCCAACTGACCTCAGGAAACACATAACTGGTTATAACTCAGCCAGTTTTATAGATATTGAGCTAAAATTGAACAAGATGGTGGTTCATCACAAACTCTAAGATATTTCATGGACTTAGCCATGGGGCAGCCATAATATTCTTTACAGTTTGACCAAAAAGAACTTGAACCTGTTCCTCCTAAAATCATTGTAGTCCATAAAACACTGGCATGCAAGGCAATATGCATTCTTTCATAAAATCTTGTACAATAAATAAATAATGAATAGAAAAATAGGAATATGCTTTTATACGCTTTTATATGTTTTTTTTTCCCTGCAAGATCAATAAAGTTCTATTTTACCTTATTTTATTTTATACAAAATCTCAGATTACCAGAAAGTCAGAGAATAAATGTAAAGTTCTCAGCTCGACATGTGAAACATCTCTCACTAACATCATGAATAAATCACCGACTTGTAACTTATCTAAGAAAAAAAAAATCATCTTTATTTAAAAAAGTTCAACATTTCTGTAGTTTTTATTTAACTTTTCTATCAGATTATTAAGTGCATTTTGAGTAGAATCATTTCTTTCATTCTGACCTTCTGTAGAGAAACTAAATGTTGGATTTTAACAAAGTTGAATCAGATCCTCTGGATGGATTCTTCTTTTATTGCAACATCTCATCTTTTATCCAAAAGACTTCTTCAGTCTGAGGAGCTGCAACAAACTCAGCACCTTCTCATAGTGGATCATCCAGTTTGATGGTGACATCCAGGTCTACACTCATCTCCAGGCCAGCGGTCACTTGTTCAGGGATGAAGATGTTCACATCCTGGCCAGAGAGGAACGATGGTTTGAGAGTTGGTTTTAACTGGTGCTAAATGCTGATAAAACCAAAGGGATGTTGTTTTCAACGAGAAAGTTGGTCCCAGCAGTCCTTCCTTCGATCTTATCTATGAACGATGTTCCTATTGAGTTTGTGGATTCTTACAAATACTTGGGAATTTTGGTCGATGCACATCTCTCTTTTAAAACGTATATTGAAAACTTGATAAAGAAACTGAAATTAAAACTGGGTTTATTTCTCAGAAATAGATCTGGTTGAACTCTGAATGCTAGAAAACATCTTGTAACTACCTTCCTACCGGCCATTGACAACGGTGACATTATTTACATGAATGCTCCTGCCAGCTGCTCGCAGATGTTGGATTACATCTACTATGGCGCGCTAAGATTCATAACTGGTTGTAACTATTGTACCCATCACTGCACTCTGTACTCTTTGGTCAGTTGGTCATCATTATCTACACGTAGGCTCTCACACCGGTTCATTTCCATCTATAAATCACTCCTTGGTCTGCTACCTTCTTATAGCTCCTCCCACTTGTCACGTCATCAGTGCAGCTACAGCGTGCGCTCTCAGGACATCATTACCTGCAGCGTTGTGTGGACTGAACTTGGCAAAAGGGCCTTCTCTTACTCCGCTCCTGTAACCTGGAACATGCTGCAACAAGATCTGAAGCTGTCCACCTTCATATCTTTAGGGGATTTTAAACATTTGGTTAGGTCAATAGAAACATTAAAGCAAACAAGTTCTTGTTTTTAATATTTTACCTTGTTTCATGGCACCTTAATTTAGTGTTTTATACACTACTTGTATTTTATTTTTATTTTATTGTAGTTTATTGTTGTCTGTTTAAAACAGGCCTCTCTTGTGACTTAGTCCCTGTGGCTCAGTGAGAGTAACCTGTATAAAAAAAAGGTTGAATGAATGAACGAGAGAGGAGTGAAGGCGGCCATCTTTGTGAAAAGAAATCGTCCATCATTAAACAGGGGTGGAGGCCTCCGGGTTCAACTGTCCCCCTCTTACAATGCTGTTATTGCTAGTATCACTCAGCCCCCTGTGAATAGTAAACAGCCATAAGGGCACTAATGATCTGTTGTTAGGCTGATGGTCCTTCTTGATCATGTGAACAGCTGGTTCTGGATGTGAACAACAAACTGGTTAATGAGAAGGTACTATTTATAAAATTGCATTTATTGCAGCCCCTCAGACTGAAGAAGTCTTTTGGATAAAAGACAAAACTTTTCAACAAAGGAGATTCTGTTCAGAGGACCTGACTCAACTTTGATTTGTCTACCTGCGCATGCATCAACTTAAATGTTGGACAGTGTTCATGTAATACCTCATGTGACCACAAGATGTCAGTGTTTCCAAAGAGAAAATGGAAGGCCATTCAGGCGATGCACAAAACTTCTGAGGTGGTTTTGGATGTAAAACTCAACTTTAGTTTGCTAAACTAAAAGTTTCATTAACTTTGTGAAACATCACTGGACTGAAAGGACCGTACAAACTGTATAAGAGCCAAATGTTTCTTTCATGAACGTTAAAAAAGATAAAAGCACAAGTTTAACCCAAAGTGTCTTAGTGAAAACTGAGCATGAGGTCAAGTTTGAGTAAGATTTTCACATAAAATATTTCTGAAGTTGTTTTTGCTGATGTTGAGGTTGCTTTATCCATCATCTGGGCTTCAGTCAGTAAAATACCGCAAAGATTTACAGCTCAAACTGTATATTTGAGCTCTTACTCAAAAAATAAAAATAGTGTACACCACAAAACAATTCACTTTATCGTTAAAAGATATGACAGGTGAAAATCCTGGAAGGAATGCATATCACCCACCACCATTCACGCCAAGAGTTTGAAACTAAAACCACTGAGTGTTGAGGAATGTGGTTAAAGCTGTTTGGGTCAAATCAAAGGTCAACCATGTAGACACGTGTTACAATCTGGTTCATTAAAACCCTTTCAGTGCTTCAGGATAGATTTCAAGCACAATCAATGACGTGCTTTATGCATCTAAATGTATCATTATGTTATTTTACTAAACAGGGGAAAAAACACTGTTAAAGTTAAAATATGAAAAAACAAGGAAAAGTCAAACAGTTGCCCGGCAGTAATCTAACAGATTAGGGCGGAGCAGCAGCTTCAAAGATAAATATATCTTTAGATTATATCAACTAAGTTCAAATAGAAAAATCAATGTAACAAAAGTAACAGCAGGTTATCTTTATGAGCTAAAAAGCTGTTTTCAAGGTTCAAGGTTCTTTATAGTCATTCGCATCACATGTGGTACATGAGGTGGATTGAAATTATGTACACAGTGTCCCAGTTACATCCAATAATAGCAAAAACATAACGTTTAAAAGAAAACAGTAATAAGATCTAGGATATACGCTAAACATTACAGTGCAAAACAACACGCTGAACAGCAGCACAAACATGAGTCTGTGAGATGATACGAATGAATACAGCAGCATGAAATAATCAGCAGCATGAGATCAGCAGTGTGGATAATCAGCAGCACATATCATTTCAGTGTTTCAGCAAAGAAAACAGAGGTGATGAGGGGACAAAGACATCCAGGAGCTCCATGATCAGTAATTATCGACGACACGATGAGACGTCAGCGTTTGATAACAGGATGACGACTTTCCCTCGTGTTTCTGTGGGATCCTGAAGAGACGGCAGCTGCTCACAGTTTGTGGCTCCCTGGAGTTTTGGTTGATGAGCTGCAGTTTGTGTCTCCAAACGAGGAGCGTGCGCGCCACTCGCCCCCCTGATACATTATTAATAGTTGCTCTGCTTCTTTTCCACTGAATTTCAGACTTTCACAGTTTTTTCCCCTCCTGCACACATCTACACCGCAGACGCTCTTTGTCTCCCACATCATGTTGTTTCTCTCCTCCTCACTGCAGCTCTGCCTCCTTACTGTTCTCCACCATCATACCTGTTTAGTGGTGGAGGAGACATTTCTGCTGTGTGCCAGCTGCTGCTCAG